TGTTTATTTAATGACGCCAAGTTTTTGCTCAGATCTACCAAATCCATGATTATGTAATAAGTCTATAATGCATGTCATATGTTATTTTGCACTCTCATTTTTTCATGCAATTTTATAATCTGTTTTCTTGTCTGTGTTTATGGACAGGTGATGTAGAGGATCTCAAGGAGTTAAATGTTTGTATGGTATTCTTTTAAAGATTGTCATCATTATTTTTTGCGAAGCCTATTTCCTGGTCTATCGTAGTGTTTTAGCTTTTGGTAAATAATGAGCAGCACCAAAATGACATATTAAACTTCTCACTTTCTAAAGTTTTTAAATGCATCAAGGATAGCCTTTCTGTTTTTACTTGGTAGGGTTGCTTACATCTTGACCCCTCAAGCCCCAATAGAGGAGGGATTTTACTGTTATCAATGTTATGTTATAAATACTTGTCTTTTCAGGCCAACAAACACCCACACACCAACTCACATTTCGTTTTTTTGAGTTTTTTCAATAGTTTGTTGTATTCTTCAAACTTTTTGTGGGTTATTATTGTCTAAAAAATTTTAGCCTGTTTTGCTAGGTTTTAGCTACTACAACTATTTGATATTCTATAGCAAGTAGTTCCATAGTAGTTAAGATCACGAGTCGGATCGTACGATCCTACGATTCCACAAATCCTTGAAGGCTTTGCGATCTGAATCGCACTGAAGAATCGAAAATCTGCTTGAGAGATCGGCGTTTTGGATCATAAGATCACCAGATCGGCTGGGATCGTGATCGACGGAAACAAATTTAGGTTTTGATGGAAATACCTTTGAGTAGTCTGCGCGACCTTTAAAATCTGCTCTGCATGCGATTTTTTTGGTTTCTGTATGTGTTTACTCCGTATTACTATTTTCATATACTCCCTCAAAAAAATCTATTTGTCCACCATTTTACCCCCTTATTTTGTTGAGTAATTATTTTGGACAACTTTGAATATTTTGACAATTAATAAATACTCCATATTATTTTATATATGAGTATAATAAATAAAATAATGTTATAAAAATTGAATTCATTAAATTTACTCGTACATCTTATAATAACTCAAATATATTAAATTTACATTATAACTAAAGATATAACATATGTTCTCATAATTTGTAGTCTAAGTGGGTAGCAAATTGACCAAAAAAATATAAATCTGAACAAGTTTTTTAAGGACGGATGTAGGATCATACGTTCCGAGTCGCGATCCTACGAGTTACGATCTTTACTAAGTCTTTCGATCCCACCTAGAATCTCGAGTTTGACAACCATGAGTATTTCTTTGTTCTCAAGGCATTGTTATGCAAAGTTTTTGTTTTCAAGAGCTATTTTTCCGTTTTAATAGTTTGGTGAAACTTTTGCATTATTTTGTGTAGTCTTAGTAATATTTTGTGAGATTTTTTTGAACCCCTAAGTTTTGTGTTTTGTGTGTGTGTAGGGTGGCAATTTTTACCATATACGTGTATCCATTGTGCATTCTGTTTTGCATTCTTTAAGATTTAATAAATGTTTCCTAAGCACTTCAACACAGTACTGAAGGCGCTGTTCTTTATACCAGTCTATGAGTACAAAATTGACAAGGTTGAAAACTAGAAATACAGTTTTCGCAAATCAGATAATAGGTATGGAAAAGAACTCAATTAGAAATTAAAATTGTGATCCAATAAATACTTAATGCCTGATGCTCGTAGATATTGGTATGTTTTGATTGTCTTTATGAGAAGTGGGCATATATTGTTTGAGACCTGAAGCCAATTTGACAAAGCTATCTTTTGTTTGAATATTGCTTATATTCCCATGATGGTACTTTTGGTGAGCGCAACACTTGTGCTAGCTCAAAGGGTGTCAATTCACAAAAGTTTAATTGAAATGGTACCTGGATGGTCTTGGTTTTACTAATGGTTCTTAGTTTATGAAGGTAGAGGAAGACTCTAGCAAAGCATCTTTCGATTTCGATGAGCAGCCTATAGAAAGCCCTGAAAAAGATTATGGGTCTGACTTTGATGATGACAGATATCAGACACTGAATAGTTTTGCAGCTGAAATTCGTAATATAAGTAGATATGGTGAGTGATCTTTTTATATTCTGCATTTATTCCTTCTCCTTTGATAGTATGTGGTATTTATGTTTTCTCCTGTTGCCATTATTCTTATTTTGACTCTACTATAAGTAATTGTAAAGGTCTCCGTATCATGTGTGGAGACCTTAGATTTCAGTTTTGTCATCGCTCGTCCAATGAGGCAGCACATATTTTAGCGCGCGCTACTCATTCAATATCGGGTGTAGTGGAGTGGGTTGATTCACCCCAGACTTCATTGTAAACTTTCTTTAATTTAATGAAGTGAATTGTTCTTTAAAAAAAACATCTGGATCATGTTTTCTAATTAAAAAATGCTAATAATTTGTTGATAATGTGTTTTGATTGCAAATATCTATTAGTGTACTATCTCAAGCTTAGTTTATTTGTCTGGACTCTGGAGGAGATTTAGTTCATCTGGGACTGTGATGGTGGTGTGTCCGGTTATGGGTATCTAAGAGTCTATGCTCTCTGTGATGATGACTCTCTTGGGAAATTGCTGCATTTAGTTGTTCTTGCATATTCATCAAGGTGGTGTTTTTACTGTTTCCATGGTTATGTAACAACCCGCAAACACGTCAGTCTGTTTACTTTACCAAATTGCCAAACTTCCGTACTTGTCTTGATCCAATGTTTAGTTTATGATGTTTGTCTGATAAATGCTATTTTGCAACCTCATGCACTGATTAGTTTTTTTTTGTGATTCTGAGCAGCTCATATCAAGGACGGTAGGGAGGTGAGTGTTAATATGGAACTTTTTGCTAAGCTTTTGTCTTTTCAAGATTTAGTTCCTTGTTCATCTTTGAGCTTTGAATTATTGTTAGTTGTATCTCTGTTATGTGATAAATACCAGTATCATACTTCCTCCGTTTCACAAAACTGATCCTACTTTCCTTCATGGGCGGCTTCATATTCCTGCTCCACCTTTTTGTCTATGTCGTCCCACCATACCTTTTCCATTTTAATCGGGATGCAGCCTAACAATGAACCGATTCAGAAATGACAAACTTGAAATTGGCTAGAAGTCTAGGACCGAAGAGCTTGAAGATGAACTGAACAAATAATCCGTTCATTAGATCTAGCTAGGAGTTAGATTAATGATGTGATGTTATGCTGATCCTCATTATGATGACCATTTTTAACAAAGCATTGGAGAAGTAGTAAAACAATACAACAAAAGGCAGAGGTGTATATGATGAATACATGGTGTAAACGGTGCTCATAAGAATTATTGAAATCATAGTTTGTAAGGCGCCAAGGCGAGGCGAGGCGCCAATGTACCTTCATATCGCCTAGGCGACTAGGCGCATGCCTAGGTGACGACTAGGCGACATACATACCTACATATATATGTATGTATGTATATACGGTGGGGTTCTAGTGACAGCGGAGTACGGTGCCACACTAAAAGAAAATGAGCTGCACTCAAAAATAGTTTTTTGACAGATAAGACCGGGAGAGAGAGAGAAGATAAGTTTAAGTCTATTAGGCTACACTAAAAGAAAATGAGCTGCACTCAAAAATAGTTTTTATCAAAATTTTAGAGCGGCCCAAGGCATCAAGGCGAGGTAAGGCGAGGAAAGGCGACGCCTAAGCGAGCGCCTGGTTGCCTTATGCTTTTCTAGGCAATGGCAAGGCGTCCCAGTTACAGCGCCTTATCGCCTAGGCAACGCCTTACAAACTATGATTGAAATGAAAAATAAAGGCTGATTCATTGATTTTTCGTTTTAGGTGTTTCTGTTACCGGTGTAAGTTTTACCATGCCACATAAAATTTAACTTTGATCATGCCATGCAACTTGATGCATATCCCTTCAATGGCAGGTCTATTTCATAAATCTTGAGGAGGACTGCCGTGGAAAAGTGCTCCTCTGCAAGGATGTATTGAAGAAAGTTGGCTGGTATTTGAAATACTTATTCTCCCTCTATGCACATTCATATCTTTGTAAAAATATCAAAAATTGCTGGAAGTATTAAGCTGTTTTTTTTTAGGAAAGTGGAAGGATCTCAGAAAACTGTCTTTATTTTTCACAGTTTGATTAAAACTTGACCATGAAAGCATTTTCTAAAGGGAGGACGATTTTCCAAATAAAGGAATTCTGCTCCCCTGTTTTTCCCGAGTGATTCACATATCTCAGTAACAATTACAACAATCCAGTAATTCGCATATGTGCAGTTTGAAGAGAATAGATGTATGCACACCTTACCCCCAACCAAAAAAGACGACACCTGGCTCAGAAAACAACGCTTCTTAGGTGTCCCTCTACCTATCCACAAATTCCATACCCCTAGGCTCTTACCTATCACATCTCCCTACCAAGGCATCCATACTTCTCCTTTGCACATACAAACCACCTCAAATAGTTTCACGCAAAACATCTTTAATCATAGCCACTCCCACCTCAACCTTGATATCGTCATTCCAAACCGTAAGCCTCTAAGTGCATCTGCTCATTCACCAAATCATGTTTATCTTTGCCACTCGTTACTGCTGCACGTGAGTGTTCTTTATTTGCAACACATTGCCCCATATTACTCAGCTCTCATCTAAACACGGCTCTGACACGGTGCGTAGACATCTCTCAACCTCTTCATCTCTCTATGGTGCATAGCAACCTAGCAACATTTGGACTCCCGGGGTTGCTCCCACACCACCAGTCTATCATTAACTTACGTGTTTCCAGCAATCAATATAATATCATCTGCAAAGAGCTTGCACCTGGTTATATCCCTTTGGAATATGGCTTGCTAATTCATCTATCGCCAAAGTGGAGAGAAAAGGACCGAGTGCAAAGCCCCCATGCATCCCGCATCACACATGTCCTTCATATATGGTATTTCGGATTTCCCAGACCTCAATTTGGCGTCATACATGTCCTTCATTGCTCTTATGCATGCTTCCGACATTCATGTGTACTCCAAGCACTTCCTAACGGCATCCCTATTAACTTCACTATATGCCTTCTCCAAATCATTAAACAACATCTACTCCTTTATCATCAAAACATGCATGACCTCTGTAGTCGGCGTCCCTCACATGAGTCCAAATTGGCTCCTAGCGATTGTTGGAGTTTTCCTCAGCCCCGGCGTATATAACCTGTTCCTGGACCTTTGTGTTGGCTGGAAAATTTGATTCCCCTATAATTAATACAATTGTTTGGATATGGCCTTACCTTATACAATGTTATCATCGTGCTCTCTTAAGTGATTGATATAAACAAGAGTTTTCAAAAACTTTTTTTTAACAGATCCTCTTTGTGCAATGGTTTAAGATTTTTTATAGCGTGTTCTCCCTCTATGCAAATGACCAAACTAGGGAAATTGATAATGAATTGTATTATGTTGTAACTATATTTTTTGGGTAGACTAACCTTCTGAAAGAACAAAAAACAACCTGAATGGCCCTTTTCTCCTAATCATTGTAGTAATGGTTTCATCTGTACTGTATGTTGTCCAGCTGCCCATGTCATTTTCTGTGGTGCTCCAAGATAAGACCTCATATGTTTTATGCAAGATTAAAGAAGGATGAAGCTGCAAAGCTCCCCAGTAAGTCTTCTTATCATCTAAATCACACCAAAAAGCAATCACATAAAAGTTTTTTAGAGGGAGAGAGAGAATGAGTGAATCAATAATCGTTGCATCTGTTTCTTTCCAGATGTCAAAGGAGTTTCCAAAGTGATTAAAGCAAGTGAGGTGTTCGTTGATGATTGATAAGATTTCTATATATATACACACACACACACACACATATATATACATATAATTAATTATGGTTGCGCTATGTGTCACGCCACATAAGATTTCTTTTGCCAATTGTGATGCCATATGTTGTATCTTATGCTATGCGTTGCGACACAAAAATACTTTTTTTTCTTTGCCAAATTTCATGTTTTGTACTCTAATAATATACTCTGTATTATATAGATTTCATCTTTATATAATGATATTATTATATTGCATTTGTTTATTAGTATATATTTAAATTTCATATTCCACTATTTCTTACTCCATCTTTCCCAATTTCAATTAGATTTGTTTTATCATGGACTAAAATAATTTTCAACTCAATTATTTTAAACTTTCCAAATACTCCCTTTGTTCAAGAATAATCTACCGTTTTGACTTTTTTTTTTCATTTCTCAAGAGTGTTCAAGAATAATCTATTATTTTGACTTTTTTCCATTTTTCAAGAGTTAAAAATGTAATGAATATATTTAAAATACTCATTTATTTTGTCACCATTGCCCCTACCCCACAAGCCCACTACCAATGCTTTGCTCCCTCATCTCTGTCAGCCCCACATCATAAGGCTCCACAACGGGTAGTCTCAGTACCTTGCTAGCCCACAACTGTTGGCAACCCCACCATCGTTGCCAGCGTGGCGTAGATCTAAAAGAAAGAAAAGGAGAAAGTTGGAAAAACAGAAGAAAAAAGTACAGATCTAGCCTCACTCTTGCCTACATCATTGATGCCAACCTGACCACTGCCTCCAGCTCAACCGCCACCCTTAGCCCAACCATCACTGCCACTGTGGCGTAGATATAAAAGAAAGAATAGAATAAGTGTAGATCTATACTTACTATTGCTATCCGCCCCATGTGCATATCTAGAAGAAAAAATGGAGGAGAATGAAGATAAAGAGGCCAGAAGGGTAGAAAGAGGAGAAGAGATGAATAAAAGGAAGTCATAGATGGAAGAGAAAGAGACGAGGAGGTGAAGAAGAAAATTAAGGAGAAGAATAGAGAAAAAGGCATTGTGGAGATGGAGGAGAAACAAGGAGAGAAGAAGAAATATGAGAAGATGAAAAGGAGTGGCAAGAGTAAAAAAGATGGAAAGATAGGACAAAAAAGAAAGGAAGAAAAAAAGAACAAAGAAAGATAATGGTATTTTTGGAAGACTTTGAAAAAAGTTGAACGAAAAGATTTTTTTGGATGGAAGGAGTTTAAAAATACAAAGTTAAAAATTGTCATAAAGTATTTCCTAAAATTGTGCTTGTCTACCTCTCATGAAGTGAGTTTGAATTATTATATTAAGGTTCTATTCTTTTCAGTTGTAAAATAAAGTTGATTGTTAGAAGAAATTGAAAGGAGTTGGAAGAAAATTAGAAAGGGTTTGAAAAATTGGAAAGAGTTGAGAGAAATTGAAAAGAGTTGGAAAATTTTTAAGTTTTAAGAAATAAAAAATCATAAAAGAATTATTTTATTTTATAAATTACATATTTTCATTTAAAAAATATATACTCTACTTTTTAGTATTTTAATCTCTTTTTTTATGCAATTATATTTTATCTCAAAACATATTTGAGATATTTTGTAACTCACTCTTTCTTTACTTTTTAAAATCAATATCAATCATATAATTTTTCTTTCTTTAATTGTATCTCACTAATCTATTTAACAAAAATAAGAAGACAGATGAAATAATACTTTTTACTAATCTTAGTTAAAAAAACTAGATTTAAATAATATAACGATGTGTCAACTAAACAAAAATAATCTTACATCACATTTTATATATCTAAATGATTATAAAAATGATTAGAGGCTAATAACATTTATTTTGTATTAGAAATTATTAATTAAACATGATTTCTATTTTATCTAATTTTTCAAAAGTTTACAATCACTGATAGAGTAATGATTATTGTGTATTAGACCAGATCATGGGCCCAGATATCTGCCCCCTCGCAAAATAGCAGGCTTGGGTTTGATATTTTAGTGTACGGACCGAGCATAGGGCCTCATAAATGGTGGCCCGAAAATTTTTTAAGACCAGACCCGGATTTTATGCTCAAATCCATAAGCTGACCCGGTCTGAATGATTTAAAATATTTATTATTAGTATAATTATAACAAATAATAACATAAATAATAATAATAATACTAATAATGATAATAATAATAATAATAATAATAATAATAATAATAATAATAATAAAAAGAACCATATTATTTCAATGGATGGTGATAGTCACACCCCACCAAAACATTAAATTCACCCCACTCTATTTTCACCCCTTGTTTTTTAACTACTTTGAATGTTATGGTTCGCACGGATTCATATACATTAATAAAGTTATATTTTGAATTAAAATAAATTTATTGTCTATTTGAATTTATTAATAAAAATATGGTATGCATTATATAAATTTTTAAATAAATAAATACGATATCTTTTTTGAAATGAAAGTTTCATTTTTAAAAATTATGCACATCAATATTTATTATACAAATATTTGTTTTTGAAAAATAAACTAAAAGGAAAATTTGCGAGTCGTATTGTAACTTTTTACTTTGTATTAAAGTTTTCTATTTAAAAAGGTAATAAGTCTTATATAACCGTGTTCTTAAAATAATAAATTAATTATGTAGATTAAAAAATTTAAATGTTGAAATGCGTATGGTTATAATGTGTAATACTTAGAAAATGAAATTTTTTATACCATAATAATAGTCATTAAACATAATGGTATATAATAAAAGTTATTTTTAAAATGAATAAAAGTTAAAGTATATATAAATTTTTTTGAAGATGATAAAATGAAATAAATAGTGGATAGTTTTAGATATTTACCTAAATTATTTTTTAATTAAAAAATTTATATAAAAGTTTATAGATAGTAACATAATTATGCATTATGGGGTGTATTTAGTTGATGGAGTGTTTATAGTATTTTAGCGGGTGTAGCTTTCACTACATTATTTCAAATTATTATAACTACACTTAGATACTTCTATTAGTTCTTTCGAGAAAATAGTAAACTATAAGTATTTTTAATATAATGAATACATATTTATTACCCCGTATAGTTAACAACATATCACACATTGATTGTGGTATTCTAATAAATAATACTTTATACTCTACACGCAGTAGCAATATCAAACAAAATATATTTTATATTCTAGTTGTTCTCTCATTTAATCATTATAGTTATTATATCAAACATCTAATATAATAACTTATCATTCTTTTCAAAAAATCTTTTTTAATTATTTAAAAGTTTTTGTCATGCGGATTGGGCCAGCCCAAAGTACGCGGGTATCCACGCGGGTCGGGCTCGGGCTTCAATGGTTAGGCTCGCTATACGGGCGGAGCTGAGCTCGGACTAAAAAAAATTTGTAGTGTAACATCTTGGCCCGACTCGATACCTGGTCTGCACTTTGATCAGGTCTATAGTATATATTACTTGTAAGAACTCTAATATCAAAACAACAGAGTTCTGAGTAATAATGTATAAAAGTTTAGATTAAATATTTTTTAGCAAAAAAATCAAGAATGCCGAATCGGAGATTTGAACACAAAAAGATTCTACTAAGGGGTCAGTGCTTTCAAGGGTTTGAGTTGTATTTATTTTTTGAGTTGTATTTATTTTCAAAAGTTTCTGATTCTTTTATTTAATAAAATAAATTTCACTATTTTTAAATAAGGAGAGGAAAGGAAAAAAGACATAACATGATGTCAATTTATTCAAACTCTGGTTAGGGTTAGTGCTTACAAGAGTTTGAATTACTTTTATTTTCCAAAATTTATTATTCTTTTTTATTATGAAAAGTATACTATTCCCAAATAATGAATGAAAAAGAAAAAAAGAAATCTCCCTGAATAAGAGTAATAAAGTCTGAAAATATCAAAATAAGAGTTTTAACTCTTTTGAGATCAAAGTAGGAGTATAATGGTAGTGTGATGTAAGAGTATGCGTTGGCAGTGTGATGGAAAAATGATGTCAATGTAATATGTAGTGTTTGGAACGATACTCTTGTGGCCGTCGGTGATGGATGCCAATGTGGCGGTGATAGTATGACAGCTACAATGTGAAAATGTTGTGAGTATGACAGTGTAACTGTAACGCCCCAAAACACAGCCTATCAGGATTAAGTAATTAAAAATAATTACCTAGAGGAACTCTAGGAAATGACCTGAATGGATTAGTGGTAAAGTATGTCATAAGTATAGTAAGTTAGATCTATATGGTACCTGCTAGGTCCAATGACTATCATGGTAAAGACGTGCGCACGGGGATCAATAAACTGTCGTTTTGAAGGGGACAGGGATCTCACCCACCCAACGAGGAACTCTCGAGTTGATTTGAGCTTGACCTTCTTTACGAAGGGGAAGGTCATTACTCCCATAGGCAAGTTGAGATCACTTAAGCTTTAACCTAGAATAGGTTAAGAGCCAAGTATAAGAAAGAAAGTTAACAAGATCAAAGAAGAACACTTAACATTCATATTACTGTGTGGTTATCTCTTATGAGCTATTGTGATATTATTGTGATTGTTTTCTGTGCATGATATCGTATGACGATATGGGGTGGTGAGGTCGTCTATGTGTATGACTGTTTGTTAGATATTTCTCACTTAGATTCAATGTTCAGCGTGCAGTGTTTGTTCTTTTGCTGCACGTAGGTAATCCAGAAAATGAGGAATTTGGAGCCAATCCCGGAGGGCGATGGGGATGAGGAGATGTGCATGGCCATAATTGAAGATTTTGAATTATTATTTATTATTTAAATGGCTTATTACTTTTACGGGCTTGATTGTGTTTTGAATAATGAAATAAGCTTCCGGAGATGTTTTAATTATTACTCTGATGGATTTTATATTATATTTTTGAAGTATTCATTGAATTCATTGAAAATTAGTTGTGTTTGGATACCAATTTAGTAGCAACCTGGTTTGCTATTCTGTGTATTCGTGTTATGCAGGTTGGGGTGTTACATTTTGGTATCGTAGCATATGGTTTTAAAATCGATTTTTGGATCACAAACAGATGGTTTCCAAAAGGTGCACCACATCTCTTGCGACTCATTAGTCCCGAGAAGGTAGTAAGTTTAAGCTTTATTATTTATGTGTTGTTGACTGACTAGGAACTTATGTGTGAAATTTATAATGAGTGAAGCATCGACTCACACACGACAACACCCTGCAAGTTGGTGGCGAGAACGCTGATGCCCAAACGGAGGCATCCAACTTCATGCCTCATCAAAATGTTGGACAGCCTAACATACCTCTGAATGTTGGGAATAACCAAAACAACGAGAACCAGCCCGAGTTTGCTATGCCTGCTTTCATGGCTCAGTTTCTATAACAAATGGAGAATGTGCCAGCGTTCCTGCCGCCTCCTCCGCCGCCACGTTTGATCACTTTCAAAACCCTAAATGACAATGGAGTGGAAGAGTTCCTTGGAGATCGAGTAGATGAACCATAGGTTGCACTTGATTGGATTGATAAAGTGGCTAGAGTGCTAGGCGACCTTAATGTCCCGATAGGAGACCACCCTAGGTTGGCATCTCAATTGCTCTGGAAAGGGGCGTACGAATGGTGGAAGCGCACCAAACGCAACCCTTATGCGCGAAAGTCATGGACATGGGCCTACTTCGATTGGGCCTTCAAGAAAGAGTATATACCAGCCCACTTCCGGGAAGAGAAGCGTGCCGAGTTCATGGAACTACAGCAGGGGAGCATGACCTTTACCGAGCTACGAGAAAAGTTTGAACATCTAGCTCAGTTTGCACCTACGCTAGTATCCTTACCGGCAGATCGGATCGAGGAATTCTGGAAGAAGCTGCTTCCAGATGTTCGACCGCACGTGTCTATATTGACCATCACTGACTTCTCTGAAGCGTACGACCTTATGGTGAAGGTTGAGATAGACGTGGATAAATCTCAAGGCAAGCCTGAGTGCTGGAGGGGTTGGGCAAGGCAACTGACTGACGGTTAGCGCGACACCAAGTAGTAAGAGGCCATTTGGGGGTGCCAAGGGTGCCCAAAACTCCAAGAAGCCCAAGTTCGCACTGGCCCAGTCCCAGTCAGCTAGCAACAGACACAAACCCTCAAGGCACCGAGTATGCAACTTGTGTGGGAGAAACCATCATGGCGGTTGTTGGTTCATGAAGGATTTGTGCCTAGGTTGTTGGAAGGCGAGGCATTTCCGTAAGGACTATCCCACCAATCCAGGACCGGCCTTTCCCACAGCTGAGGTCTAGACACCGGAAGCTACTCAAAGTCAGAGATCTACAGCGGGTTCGAACCCGTAGAGAGGCCAGAATCAGAACCAAGGCCAGAACTTATAGCAGGGACGTACTCCCGCATGCATCTACACCATGCAAGGGCGTACCGAGGTCAACCATGATGTCATCCTGGGTATGTTTTCGTTATTTGATACTCATATGCTTGCACTAATTGATCTAGGATCCACATTATCCTATATTTTCATTCCTATGCCCGAGAAATCCAACATATACAGAGGGGATCTAGAGAATCCCATGATAGTATCTAACCCGTTAGGGCACAGCATGCGACTGCACCACCTATACCGCAACTATCCGCTGATGGCTTAGGGACATCGACTGCCCGCGAGTCTAATCGAGTTACCATACAAGGAATTTGATATTATCCTTGGTATAAAATGGCTGCTCAAAATTCCTAGTATGCCAGTCTGGTTCATCTTCCGACCCTCTATCTATAACCCATTCTTCTTCTAAATCTTCAAAAATAGGCTTATAATAGAGCTTTGTTTGCTTCTCTGAGCCTAAGTTGTAGCTCACGTTCCACTGTGGTCTTTCTAAGTCATTATCATTATCAGAATTTGAGCACCCCAAGAAGTGAGGTTCGTCCTTCGGTTGTGAGTAGTCCTTTGCACTTGGAATGAAAGGTTGAGCTGCTGGAGAGAGAGGGCTATGAGGGATATGAAAGCTCTCCCCTCTCGAAATTGAAGTTCCGATAAGTAAATCGGAGCGTAGAAAGCTCTCCCCTCTCTCAACAGATCTCGCCATATATATCGGATATATATATATATATATATATATATATATATATATATATATATATATATATATATATATATATATATATATATATATATATATATATATATGGGACTGACTCCAGTGAGATGACAGCTTACGGTGAGATGACATGCTTCGGTCAGATGACACAAAGCTCACCACTGGTCACTGCAAAGCTCACTAATGGCCAATATAAAGCTCACCAAAGTGTAAGGCAAAGCTCACCATATTTTTTCAACACTTTGAATTTTTTTCCAAAAAATAAAAAAGTTCACCACATTACACTGCAAAGCTCACCAATGGCCAATGTAAAGCTCACCTGGAAATAAGGTAAAGCTCACCACTTTGAATACCAAAACTCACCTTTTTTTATTTTGAAAATTAAAAAATTAATAAAAAATAAAATAGCAACACCGGTCAACCACCGGTCAGTGGTGGCGGCGCGGCGGAGACCGGCGGCGGCGGAGGTGGTCACTGGCGGCCGGTGGCAGAGATCAGCGGCGGCCGGCGGCGGAGATCGGCGGCGGCCGGTGGCGGTGGTCAAAGTCCAGTCAGCTTTTCCTTTGATGATGGTCAACGGTCAAAGTCCAGTCAACACCGCTTTGATTTTTTTTTCAAAAAAAATTCAAAGTATTGAAAAAATATGGTGAGCTTTCTCTTACACTTTGGTGAGCTTTACATTGGCCATTGGTGAGCTTTGCAGTGGCTAGTGGTGAGCTTTGTGTCATCTCACCGAAGCATGTCATCTCACCGTAAGGTGTCATCTGACTCGAGTCAATCCCTATATATATATATATATATATATATATATATATATATATATATATATATATATATATATATATATATATATGCCCGAAAGAAAACCACCAAAATCGGTGGGGTAAGGTCCAGGCTTCCTTACCGATTTTATTCAAAGGCTAAATCAGTACACGTTCGAGGAGGACCCAACCGAAGCCTTAAAGGTTAAAATACATAAAATACAAAATTAGAGCAAAAAGGAACAAAACAAACAGTCCTGAAACTAAGGAAAATGGATGGAGTCAACATCAATCTTTCTTGCGAGAAGGAAACCTTCTCTTCAACCGCAATGCGCCACCCTCTTCATCTGATTTCTCATGGGATTCTATTACCTTTGAGCGCAAACATTTGTTACCCGGCCCTGACGAGTTTGTCTTCATGGATCATCCATCCTTTTTAGCGATATATATATATATATATATATATATATATATATATATATATATATATATATATCGATTCCAGTCAGATGACATCTTACGGTGAGATGATATGCTACAGTCAGATGATGCAAAGGTCACCACTGGTCACTACAAAGCTCACCAAACTGTAAGGCAAAGCTCACCATATTTTTTCAACACTTTGATTTTTTTTTGAAAAAAATAAAATCAAAAGAAGGGATGCTGACTAGATTTTGATCGTTGACCGCCACCATTGACCGCCGCCTGCTGCCTGCCACCGCCAGCCACCACCGCGCCGCCGCCAGCCCCAGCCGATAATCGCCGGCCACCGCCGCCACTGGAAGTTGGACACCGCTGCTTACCCGTGGTTAAGCGGTTGCAATTTTTTAATTAATTTTTTAATTTTTAAAATTTTTAAAAATGATGGGTTTTGGTGTTCAAAGTGGTGAGCTTTGCTTTATTTCTAGGTGAGATCTTGTGCGGTGTTGCAGATCTTGCACGGAGCCTCCCACAAATGCACGAGAGTCCGGGGAGACGTGCAAGCACGAGCTCTATGTGGGACCAACGTGATGATGAAATAAGAAATTGAGGGAAGGGAAGAGCTTGAAGAGATGAGATCATCTCAAGCGCATGAATTGCTAACAATCAAAGAGGAGATGGTTCGGCTATATGGAGGAATTCTCCCACCAAGAAATGAAGATGGTGACGGTGGTGCATGAGGAACAGGGTATGCAGGAGCTTGACATGTTCCTCACTGAAAACATTTGTAAATTTACATGAATTTGATAAATACATAAGATTGTGATTAGTGATTATTAAATTTGGTTTAATTTAAATTGAATTTGGTCTAGATGTGATTCATTATTGATGATGGCGTAATGAGCGTGAGGATTTCCAGTTTTTTTTTTGCATTGTGTTTGGCATATTTCTTTGTTGATGGGTATGGTAACAAAACAGGCATGGTATTGCTCATTCTGTCAACATGGCGACGGAGTTGGTGACAGAATCCATTTCCATCACCAAGTGGTCTAATTTTCAACAATTGTCGTCATTTCCGTCGCTAAATGTGACGACAGAATATATCTGTCGCCTAATCTGTCGCCCCGTTCTATCGTCCTTTCCATCGTTCATAGCGACGGAATGGAAACTTCCATCGTCGATTTAAATACCAACGGAAATAGGATGACGGAATTTTTCCATCGTTATTTCCATCATCGGTATGAAATCCCAACGGAATTTAAGTGTAGCAACAAAATCTTCCTGTCGTCAGTCTATCAGTTTTTTGTAGTGATACAAAGGCTTTTAGAGCAGACTCTGACCATAGATATGCACACCTTTTTAGTAGGTCAGTGAGAGGTTTGCTCAGTGTAGCATAACCTTTGATAAAACGCCTGTAATAGCCCGCTAGCCCTAAGAAATGTCTAAGTTCTCTAACTGTCGTAGGAACTGGCCGATTGGAAATAACATTGATTTTACTTGGATCTATTTCAACCCCTTTTGCAGAAATGAAATGCCCCAAGTACTCCACCATGTCACTTGTAAATATACATTTACTGAGTTTGGTACACCTTGTCACAAGTACACTGACAAGGGATTTTATTCCCATTTGCCACTGTCACTACTTGGGTGTTTGTACCTTCTCTAGCTGACATCCCAAATTTATTGCTGTATCAAAATTTAAGAAACTATGAGTACTTCCTGAGACAACCAATATGTGGATGGGCCTTCTACCAACCATCCCCATTATCCTCATTGTCTGGTAACTGTGCCCTCCAATTAGAGCTTGTACAGAAATACAAGCATCAAAACTTCCTCCTTTCTCACTTACATCATAATGATCTTCCAAATATTCAGCTATGCATTTCTCTTGCTCATTCTGATAAGCTCCCTGAGCAGGGACGTTAACTGTAAACAATTGTTGCTCCTTAAAATTGTACTCGTGCCCCTTCTAAATAGGTTGATCGCAATAGTAGCACAATCCCTTGGCTATTTTTTCCAACCCTCACATCAGCAGGTATGTACTTAAAGTTTTTGTTAGGGCCAAAATGCGTGGCAAGTGTATATTTTTAGAAACTGGCAGGTTTTATTTAGGGAGTAGGCAAGAGAGCAGGTTTTGATGAGTTGTTTGTGAAGGGAGGCCTTGAAGCTTTCCCCGAAAGGTACATGGCTGTAAGAGTGGCTGAATTTAGAGAACTTTGAACCTTCCACTTCCAATGATTCCTCCTTTAACCTTGCATATTCAATTTCTTGGGCTATACTACTAGGTTTAAATGCTTTAAAAACTAGTTTAACACAAGGCTTCAATTCACCAATAAAAGAATCCAGCATGAAAGAATCAGGAAGATAATGGATGTTCTGATTCAACACAGACCTTAGATCTTCGAATTCATCGATGTAAACTTCAAGTGATCCGTTCTGTTCTAGCCTTTTAAATTGTTCTACAACATTATGCCATGTTTCATCTCTAAACCCGGAAGGCCGACACTGAGATCGATGATAAATTCATGCCAAGAAACATACTTTCTAAAAGACATGTAGCTAGTAACCCAATTTTCAGCCTTATCCACCATATGTAAGCTAGTAATGTCTACCCATTGTTCATCAGGAACTTTACAAAGAACGAAGTACTTACATGCTTTCTTAATCTAGATTCGCGTGTTGCTGTCATCAAATTTTGGAAACTCCAATTGTGGATTGAAACTCAGTGCCTATGAGTATGAGTTGCCTCCACCACCTTCGTTGGTGGAGATGTTGTACTCCTCCTGGCCTACCATAGCTTCCAAATTTTTCAGGAGCATCAATATCTGGTCCATCCGTTTATCCATTTGCGCTCTTGAGCTTTGATTCTCTCATCAACACCAGCAAATCTTCCTTCAATAGCCTTCAACTTAGCTTCCATGGATGTCTATCAATGATTCGATCTAGAAAGACATGAGATCAAAAGCTATCAAAGTGTCGTGGCTCTGATACCAATGATGTAGCAAGATGAACTTGATATGAAGATCTGAGAAAATTGGCGAAGAAGAAAAGATATTTTGGGGAGGGAGAATGAGAGAAGATATTTAGAGAGAAGAAGATCGATTTCATTATTATTACGTTTTACAGCATAGCCCACATGTATTTATACAACACAATTGCCCTGCCACATCAGCTAACCAACTACTCCTAACAACCCTGTAATAACTACTAACAAACTCCGTAGGACTATCATTCTGAAAAGATCCCGACTTGGTTAAGCTTTGTATTCCGTCTTTGGCTGTCTTATTTGCCAATTGACATAACTTCAAATAGAAAACATGTAGTATAGTATAGGATTTAAACTCATACGGCGAGGGACTATTTTTGGGACATAACAAGTAGTTCAAATTCTTTTTAAATAAATAAAAGATAAGATTGTTTGGTCAACACCAATGTTAAGTAAAGTATATTCTGAACATCACATTTTTTTTGAAAGGTTCTGAACATCACATAAATGCCTATACATGGTGTGAAGCAGAAATAGTGGGACGGAGAAAGTAAAAAGGACAAATAACCACATGAAGGATGGAGTATACATTTTCTTAACAAAGTGATAAATATAATTACAATTTGACATTGTTTTTTTACCATTGCGCTATTTGGCGAATAAGGCAGTATAAACTTTATAGAAAACCACCCTTAAAAGTAGCCAACTAAACCTCTGGATCGAACACGACTACTCGGCGTGCTATTTACAAGAATACTCCGAAAATCAATTAATTACACCATTACTTCCGAAACTGCTCTCCTTTTACAAAAACACTCCACCCATCACCTTACTTGCACAATAAAATTGTACTCCCTCCGTCCGGAAATAAAGTTTACGTTTCTAATTTTTCTCCATCTGGAAATAAAGTTTACATTTCTAATTTTAATCCACACTCTTCCAAAAATACCCTTCTCTACCTTTCTTTCTTTCTCTTCTTCTTTTCTCCTCTCTTTCTTTTCTTCTTTTCTCCTCTCTTTCTTTTCTTTTTTTCTCCTCTCCTTTCTTTCTCCTCTCTTCTCCGCCACTCTTCTTTGATCTTCTTATCCTCATTCTTTCTTTCTCTTCTTCTTTTCTCCTCTCTTTCTTTTCTTTTTTTCTCCTCTCCTTTCTTTCTCCTCTTTTCTCCGCCACTTTTTGTGTAGATCTAATTTCTTCTTCTTCTTCCTCATCCTCCTTCTCCCTCTTTCTTCTAGATCTAAATAGATCTGCAATCACAGTGATGGGAGATGACGGCGATTAAGGTGCTAGCGGTGATGGGGGCTGGCGGTGACAGAGTGCGGGCTGCGGGTGCGGATGTGGCGGCGGGGCGGCGGCGAGGGGCTGTTCTTGCTGGAGCATCAGGTGGTGTGGCTGAAGCTGAATAATCTGGTCATGGTCGTGGGGATTGGGTTGGTTCTGTTGGCCGCCGGCTCACCATCACCATCGATGGGGCTCTAGAAACTGCTGGTGTTCCGGTGGAGGAAGGAGGCGGAGGATTCTGCTGGAAATTGGAATAAGGAATGCCGGAAGAAGATGGGTGGTTGGGTTGTTATTCTGCACGAATCCACCGGCCGGAAATAGGGAAGGGCATTTTGGACTAATTCACTCCATAGTCAACCATTAATAAAAATGACTAAAAGTCAAAACGTAAACTTCTTTCCAGGACGGAGAGAGTATAATATCTAAATAGATTTTTACATTGATGATTTGAAAAAAAATATTTTTTTTATTTTCATAAAAAAATAAATCACTTATCGTCTTCCAACTCAAATATTAATCACGTCTTTCACAATTAGAACATGTCATTTTCAATTGAAATTCTAAAGGTTAATACTTTAAAAAACTGTGAGTTGGAGAAAAAGAATTAGAAAAAGTTACAAATTAACTTTTCAAATCCAAAAGAATACTCTTAAAGTAGGAGATTGATATTTGAGTTAGAGCAAGAATAAGTAATTTATTTTCTTTTTGTATGAAAGCCGAAAAAAGTGATATATTTTCGAAGACATAAATTTAAAAATTAGTGTAAATATTACACAATATGATTGTGCAAGATGCCGGATGAATTTTTTTAAAAAAAATACGAACAATTGTGGGAGTAATGGAGTAATTAATTAATTTTCAGAGTATTCTTGTAAAATCAGATATTTTTGGGAGTATTGCTGTAAATTTTTTCAAATAAAAATGATTGTGAACATCACATATATGTCTATATACGGTACTGCATGAAGCAGAAGTAGTGGGACAGAGAAAGTAAAAAAGGACAAAAAATAGTATGACGATTGGAGTATACATTTTCTTAACAAAGTGATAGATATAACTACAATCACAAATTGTTTTTTACCATTTCACTGTTTGGCAAATAAGGCAGTATAAACTTTATAGAGCCAACAAAACCTCCGGATCGAACATGGCTACATGGCGTGCCGTTTATTATACGTAAAAATCTAATCTATGTTGTGAAAGCCGGGAAGAAGGGACGTGATGAAGCCAAAAACAATCATTTGAATCTCCTTCACAATTAGCCAAAACCGGTTGCCCTCCTCTGCAACCCCTGGATCAGCTCCTGCCTCATTCCCTCGTGCCTCGTTCTCATTTTCTCTTCCATTTCCTCCTACAACTACCAAAAAAACAAAATAAAAAAAACAATAGTATAAACCATGTCAGGTATATTGGGTTAATCATACAGAGAACAATGTAGTGTAGACACATTTGAACGTATATCGTATGTTGTGGAATAACAGATGCAGTTGGTTAAGCCAAAACAATATGTGCCAAGAGTAGATTGGCTATAGAGCTAAAAGTTGATTGCTTAAAGCTCTATGGCTGTCCACTTTGAACTAAATGTTAGCTGACTTAAGGCATGTTCTTTTTGCCTTAATTTTAACTAGAGCCTGGAAAATGGAAACTGGGCCGAAATTCGAAGTCCAGATGCGGTAGTAATTTTATCTAAAATCTGGAGAACGGATTTTGGAGTCCAAAATTTGGGTAACTTGAATATATTGTTGAAAAGAACATGCACTTAGAAGCTCTAGTCGACCAGCTAAGAGCTAAAGATGGTACACTTGTCTATGCAATAAATTAGAACATACTACTTCCGTCACAAAGTATTTGTCTAGCTTGTGTGTTTGACACTTTTTAGTCAAAGAGCTAAAGATGGAGAGAAATAATACGAGATGAGCCACAGAAAGTTTTACAAAAATGGAAAGTGGAGCCTTTTTTTGGGATGAAAGGAAAAGGAAATGTGAAACCTTTTTATGGGACAAAGAGAAATTAAGTCCAACACTCAATAGTAATACACATCTTATTATTGTCTCATTCTTATATCTAGTTTCTTATATTGCTTCTGCTAGCTAGTGAGTGACAACGCACTAAAGCCATCCACTAGGAGCTAGTATCATAATCTATCTATTATTTTGTAGTTCTTTCTGTTACTCATCTAGAAGATGAGAGGATAGAGAGCTAGTCCCTCTATAAGGCATAGCTCTTTGACAGTGTGAACTTTCCACTGTAAAATGCTTAAAAATTCAATAATGCCAGCACTTTCTTTTCCTATTGCTTCTCACTTCAGCTCATTTCAGGTATTTTCACTATTTTGATAGGAGTTTTGTATCAGAAAAGGCCAATAAGAAGTTAAACGCTTCCACAAAGGATCAACGTTTGATAGGAGTTTTGTATCTAAGTTCAACATTTCCACAAAGGATCAGCAGCTCTAGAGAACTGAGAATTGGCAAGAGAATAAATCGAAGAGACAAAGTCATTGCTTTCATAGCTTGATGAAGGGAGAATGGTGTCATCATTAACACTGAAAACGTGTCATTGCAATTGAGAAATATGCCCCTGAATCCCCTAGATTGCATTTGTACTCAACACTAAGGATAGAGGACTCAACACCGGAGGAGACACATACAGACTTACAATGTGAGAAAGTTGACTGCTACGACAGCCGAAAGTTCACAAGAGGATTGGCAGAGGCGCGTTCGAGGCGGAAATAGAAAGATCTTACAACTTTGATATCAACATATGAACAAGAGAGATAGTGAAGTCCTTATGGATTTTTTTTTATGATTATGCAAAACACAGAGCTAATTGAACAAGCTCTGCAATACAATATATGAACTTCTTGATTTGAGTTTTGTGTTGAGTTCTTCTTAACATGTAAAGCCTATAAGGATCAGAGAAAATTTAATCAGATTACTCAGAATAGTCAAGTGTTGGAGGTTAGAGTGAAAGTAACTTGCAATCGGTAAATCCACCAAAGGATATGGTTGGTTTTATGCACGACCAACTAACTCCCAAATGGAGGTTATGCTTGTGTCTGGTCTCTTTAAATGACTCTAGTATTTGCTTAAGTGACACAGAACTGAATCATTGGGTTCATAAGGGAAACTCTTGAGTGAATATTCACGTGAAGTAATTTAGAATAACAACAAAAATCAATTGCTATACACATTCATTATATCTCAAAAGTTCGCATCTAAAATTCTTGTTGATTGGTTGGATTGATATGAAATTTTTAGGAAAGTGAGTTTGGTTCACGTCTTGAAGTCCTTTCTAATTTCTTTTCTTTCTGACTATCCCTACAACAATTTTATACACGGTAGAGATATAAGCATGGCATGACACAAGTCACTCAACTAGACAAATCCATCAACTATTAACACATACTTTCTCCATTCTAAGATAATCGCAATGGACAAAACTTTACACTATTCACACACCCTAAAATGACAATGTTTTGTGATCAATATGTAAGAAAAAAATGGTCATGTGGGATCTTGTTAGATTAGTATCCATAAAAAATTTCATAATATCAATTTTTATTCTTTTTTTTGAAATGTGATTGAAATATTGATGATTATTTAATTGGTGCATTGGCAAGTGTGAAAAAACAAGTGTTGCGATTATTTTGGAACGGAGGAAGTATATTACGGAGTATCTATGCAAATATATGCAAATGAGAAGTTTTGAATGTTATATAAGTATCTAACGGTAATCAACTCATAAATGTTTGTAGACAAAGTCCATGAAAGTACCTTCTGCACCACCATTTTCATTTCCCTGCCTCTCAGCAAGTGCAGCAACTTCAGCCCGAGCTGCTGGTCTAGGCCGCTGACGAGGTGCAACCCCCCTCCGCATTCCTTGTGAAAGCCATCTTATTAATGGTGCAAGTGCTCCAGTTTGATATCTGAAATGATCAATAATAAAAAAATAATAGAAATCCCAAAACTAAATCTCCCTCAGTCCCCACTATTGTGGCTCTTTTTAATATTTTTGTCCGCCCCTTAAAGTTTGTCCCATACCATATCTAGTAAGAATTGTATGGCTCAAATTCATTTTTACTTTTCAACTCCAATACCAACCATACAATTCCATTTTTAAATAATTTGCTTGTCACGCCCCCTTGTCCCGAAAAATAGTGAGACAGGAGTAGAAAATATCGTAACTCAATGGAGTGCAAAAAATCACTCTAATGAAAATTAACTTCAATTTGATCTTCTAAACATTTCTTAAGCCACCAAGAGTATTCAAATGCACGTAGTACCAAGATACAAAATATTTCAATTTGATCTTCTTTTGGGGTTTAGGATCATGAATTCTTTATATAAGCATTGCAATTGTATATAGAAGTTATGAGGTTCTACATTAGAAGTCATTTCAATAAAAATAGTAGTTTAATCAATTGATTAGTAAATTATTAATCATCATGGTATCAAGGATCTAACCCTGAATAAACTTACTTTTTCAGTTATCTGTTATGGTTACTCAGTTTCTTTTTTTTATGCCCGTCCCAGCGCCCCTATGGCCCTACCTAGGAGTAGGGGTTGTTTTTCTTAATGCCCCAATAGGTTTTGGAAGAATATAAATTGAGAAAATTCTTGAATTTTTTTATGCTTTGTAATTATTATTTTCATTTTTTTAAAATGTTAATAAGTTACCCATCAAGTTTGGAATTTTCTATTTTGTAGACAAGAAAAGGTTATTATTCAAGTGGTAGGCTTGCAATTTTAATATGTATGCTGATGTGAATGAAACAACAAAAAACATTAACTACTCCCTCCGTCCCAAAATGAATTACACTCTTCAAACCACATGCGAAAACCCGTGTCTTTTAAATTTTATTTTATTTACAAATTGGTATAAAAATAAAATATACTACTTACATACTGCATCCCAATGTTTTAGTCCAGATTAACTTTTTCAAGTCAAACATGACAAACTTTGAACCTCAATTAAATAAAAATTATAATGTATATTAGCATAAAAAGACTTCATTCTATTTAACTTGTTTAAAACTTTCAAAATTTTATTTCAATGTATTAAGGAAAAATTCACATCATTACTCCCAAAATTGCATAATTTTACATAAATACTCTGAGATTTAATAAATGACACCCATGCTCCTAGAATTTTCGTATGTTTACATCAATACTCCAACATTGAAATATGTTTACATCAGTGCCCCAACATTTGGAGCATATATATAAACATAAAAAAAATCTTAGAGCATCGATGTGAACATATGAAAATTTTGGGAGTATTGATGTCATTAATTAAATCTCGGAGTATTTATATAAAATTGTGTTATTCTGGGAGTAATGATGTGAATTTTTCCATGTACTAATATGCAATATAAATTGAGAGTAATTGATGATTAATATTCGTCCAATTTGACTTGAAAAAATCAAACTAGACTACTACACTGGGATGGGGGGAGTTTTAAAAAATTAGATCAAAAATTATACAAAACAAGTTACACGAGGTGACAAGAATATATTATCTTATCAAATGATAAATGAAAACACACAAGTAAACCAAAGTAATCGAGAGACAGGAGCCAGGATAGTAAAAGTGTTATTCATTGTGGAACAGAGGGAGTATAAAACAAAAATCCAAGGAAAACAAATCCTACAATTATAAATTAGCACACAGTTCATCTTCCCTTCAAGCTTAAATCATCAAACTCTACCACAATAGCCATTCATCACCCTCTCAGCTAATACAATGAAACCCTACAGTTAATAGGAATTCCTAGGTTATTGTGATGACGTGAAGATGACTTTATAGGGTTCTTTAGTCTTTATCATGTTGTTGAGAAAACTGAGTGAAGTGAGGTATATGATCAATTGTGCTCTATTTTTAATTGAGTTGTTCCAAACTAATACTCTCTCCGTCCCAGAAAACCTTTCCTGTTTTGACTTTTTTGGTCAAACAGTGACACTATTTGACCACAAATTGTGAAAAAAGAATATTTAATTATAATTTAAATTCAATATAATTAGGTTCATCATAGGATATAGTTTTAATATACCAAATTTTTATAACATTTATTTATTCAAATTATGTTTAATTTGTAGTAAAAAAGAGTCACTATTTGACCAAAAAAGTCAAAACATGAAAGGATTTCAGGGACGGAGGGAGTATTTTTAAATGAGTTTTTTTGTTTGGCTTTAACGTTTGTTTAGGGTGTAAATGTAGTTGTTTACTTTTGTTTGAGTATTGGGATATATATACAAGATTTGCAGCAGAATGGATACATGGATCTTGAGATGTAAAAATAGAGGAACTGATGTTAATGTTACCATTGATGATATCTATGATATTCTTTTAACCATTGTGATATGTCTTGGATTATAGGGATGGAGATAAGTCTATGAAATGAAGCAAGGTGCGAGTAGAGATGAAAAATGTCAAGTGAACCAGCTACTTTGTACATAAGTGATAGGAAATTAATATCTATTTGGATTGGTGATATAAGCGAACCGCCTACTCTGTATATACCGGGAATGATAGTTATGTCATAGGGAAAAACCAATCTAAAGCTGCTGCAAATGAGTATTTAGGAAATAGTCTTGAAATTGCTGGACAAAGTAGATGATGATCCAATAGAAAAAAACTGATCTGGGAAAAAGTAAATGAAATTGCTTGAATTGCAGGCTGATCCATCCCTTGATCTGTCACCGCCACCCAAACTGCCAAACTCAAACCACCTAGAAAGCAACACATTAATTGAACATCAACTCAGTCCCAGATAACAGGCAGTGGCATGCTTTAGCTTGCGAAAGATATGGCCCCAATTAAGAGAGGGATTAGAAGACCAGCAAGAAATATGAGAAGGAAAGAAACTCAGAAAAGAGGGGGGAGAGGTCAAAACATACAGTTAAATGCACCGAATGCAAGTGCGTTGGGCATGGTGCAAGGACATGCAAGGGGGCTGGCTCTGAAGCAAATCAGATTAGATGCAAAAATTGTGTGTGCGGCAAATCAAGAAAAACAAGAAAAATGCCTTCACCACAAGACGGGACAAAATCAAAAGCAAAGTCACTACTCACTATCAAAGCTATAAATTCAGGGTTGAGTTTGATGACATTATGTCACCTTAATTGCGAACATTTTAGATTGACTTCTGCTGGAGTTCAATCAAATTAAAATTGCAGGCTACTTTGATATTTAGACACTGGTTGTAGACTATGCTTTTTGCTGAAAAGATTATTCGCATGTTATAAAGCAGGGAATAAGGAATTGTGACTCAATGGTCAATAGCAAACACACAGAAGATGAACATGGAAGGAGAGGCAGAGAGGCAAAACGCAACCTGATGAGTTGATATCAGAAGTGCTGGGGTTTTATGTTTATAATGTTATTGTTTATCAAAATGCACTTATGGAGAGAGTGTAAGTCAATAACCACTCTCCAATGCATATTTTAAGTAGAAGAACTGTATCTGACAAAATCATGGGGTTAATTCATGATTTCTGAACTTATGTTGTCTACCAAATAGAAAATCTCAAGCTGCATTGATGAAAGGACTAACATTCAGTCATGTTACAAGTCTACAACTATTTCCCATATTAAAGGATTACCACGTGAAGTCGTGAATTATAAAAAGAAAATTATCTACCAACATCAACAACAACATTACCCCAGTGCCTCAAAGGCTCCCGCCCATTGCGGGGTAAGGGGGGTTGGATGTACGTAGCCTGGCCCCTATGTTAAAACATAGAGCAGCTGTTTCCAGATGACCCATGATCAGCGTCGAAAGTTGCATTAACTAACTGTTACTCCACTATCAAAAGAAGCACGGATAGTTTAAGAACTATTTTACTTTATTCCATCTTATTCCAAATCCAAATAATAGTGAATATTTGGCTCCATCGAGGAAGATGGATTATAAAAAAAATATCTACCAAATAGAAAACTTCATACTAGTGGGGTACCATATACAAATTTCTTTAATTTTATAGTAGTAGAAAAATAGACATCAAAATAGATAAGTAGTGTGAAAAGTATGGTAAAAAATTGTTTGGACAAAAATGGCAAGCAATAAAATAGCATCCACAATCCAAACTACTAGTATATTACACTAAAAAACATTATAAAAAAAACTAGCAAAGTACTAGCTTATTGCCCACACAACAAACTCCTAACTACTAAACTACAGGACCAAGATAATCTGCTGCACTAATCTAGAATCTCCAGGAACTTAACAGAGTATAGAGTTCAGTAGAGTTCATAAAATAGATTAATGCTCTATACAGTTCAATAATGGTAAGTAGAGTTCAAATTTCATAAAGAGTAAACCTCAATAAAGGTCAACCAGTTCAAAAAGAATATCATGTACATGCTAGTATGAACCAGTGTATTTTAACAGTTCAAAACTTTTCAGTGCTGTGTTATTTTTCATCTTTGTTAATGTGAATCTAATTAGCAAGCTTAAGGACCTAAGCTTAACGGAGGAACCGGGAGAAGTGAGTCGTTGGAAATACCAAAATGTAAATCTAATTAGCAAGCTTAAGGACCTAAGCTTAACGGAGGAACCGGGAGAAGCGAGTCATTGGAAACACCAAAATTACCTGGTAGACAACCAAAATAAAGTGGTGAAACAAACTGGCAGAATCAGTGAATCTATGTCAACCAGCTGGGTCACGCAGGCTCCACGGTCAACCATGGATGGAATACTGGGAGTACAAATCTCAACGGACCAAGTAATGGTCGACCGTATCGTCACACGTGCACAGATTATGCATATTGGGAACCTACGACAGTCCAACTGTTGGACCTTGGGTGTGGGATGGTTAACCGTCTCGTGGCACTGAAATCACCTCTTCATTTCCCATTTGGTTTTATTTTAATTATTGCTTTTCAAATAATCCCAAATCTTTTCAAGACACTTTGATTGACATTCAAGATCAAATTTGGAGGATGAAACCAAAGAAGATTATGTGGTTATTTTGAAGATTTTACCAAGATAATTACTACTATTGTCATTACATGGTAATTATGGAGGCAAGATTAGATAAAAGAGGCAAATCACTTCTGGCTTAGCATGGAGGCAATATCTTTGAAGATCAATCAAGGTTACTTCCTAGAAGTTCGGTTTGATCTTTTCTAGAAGTGTGATTTGCATATTTATTTATTTTTATTACGTTTGTAGCTTACTTCATTATCTTTGCCTATAGATAGGCTTTGTATTTCCATTTGTAAGGCATGTTGAATTTGAATGAAATTTTGAGTGTGTTTTGTAATCCTGTGTGGGTTATTTCTTTGATCCTGTGTGGGTCGAGAAATTCGTGAGAATTTTAAGAAGGTGCAAGTTCTAAAACTACACCTTTGGTGTTGCCACAATGAGTCTCATGGAAGTGCCAAAGTTATAGACTAGTGAGTCTCATCAATCATTCTCAATTGTCATCAATCATTGAAATGTAGTAAAATTAGTTAACAACTTCACACTAAATTTATACAACCAAAACAATTGTCCTTAAAATCAAAAGGCAAAACCATATTATGAATGATTCATGAGATGAAACTCCAAAACTAACCTAAACAAACCCAGTATTGAAAACAAATGAGGGGTGAAGGAGACGTGTCAATTGTCAAGGTGAGCAGTTAAATTGGAAGGGGTCATAGCAAATGAATATTGAAAATATAAGAACTAAAATAACTTACAGATAAATGAGTGAAGCAAAAACCACAAGCACGAAAAGTCTTTGTTTGGACCCATCTTGATTGAACAAAAAAATTACTGCAGCCAACTTCAATATTAGCAAAAGGTCGCGCTGAAATGCAATTCGAAATCTCCTCACAACTAATTGGTGATGAAGTTCGGGTTGTTGATGCTGTTGTTGTTGGCCCACATCACCTTGCTCATCACTCCCAGATCTATTCTCACTGGGACTACGTTCACTGTTCACATGAGCAATGAATAGATGTAGGTGCATAGCAATATTCTATAGGAATTATTTACCAAAAAAATTGCATGTGTTCAAGATAGGAATTTCACTTTTAAACGGGATACATAAAGCATTTACAAAAGGCCCGTATTAACACAGTAATATAAAATTGATTAAAGTATATTTAGAATAACAAAATCATCCATGTAGTATGGATAGAATCTCTCACCTTACATGTTAGAAAGTGACATTCATTGGTATAAAAGACTAAGTAGCACCTATCATAAATTTATAACTATCCAAAAGCTATCAAATATTCACACTGTAAGCCTGTAAGATGAGTGTCAATTGTCAAAACGTGTCCATTAATTGGCCATACTCTTCTGAAAACTTCACTTTTTTTAGTGCTAATTAGGGATTGAAATGGGAAACATGGATTTGGAGAAATCAAGACGGGAAAACCTTTTCCATGATTCTTTGTAGAAATGACTTCAATGTTTACCATCGACAAACAGTACCCCCCCCACCACCACCACCACCCCCATTTGGTCAACATACCACCATACCCCTCACGCTAACCCCCTACCAACCCCACCCCACTCTTGAGCCGAGAGGGCATCATAGGGCTCTGAAAGTGTGGAATGTGATGTGCTAATAGCACACTCAACATCAGAATGCTTTAAACCATCTCCTTTTATAATAATAGTAATAATAATAGTAATAATAATAATAATAATAACAGTAATAATAATAAAGTAAAATGAAGTCCATTGCCTAGCTAGTCTATAGGTGCTTCAAAGGGATGATGGACAAATCATGCATATAAGTTATAGAGGCATGGCAAAAAGGGCCATCTTTGATGCATCAAACACTTTCTGCCTTACGGGGTAGGGTGAGGGAAAACCATAAATGTCTGTGGCCTTCCCTGCAAATTTTGCCAAGAGGTTGTTTTGTGATGGTTCGAACCCATGACGTTTTAATCATCAATGAAACAGCTCAACTTCACGCTAAGGCTCATGAGATGATGAAAAGATGTTACTGCAAATGGGAGTAATGCATGAAGATGACTTCATGATGCATTGAAATTAGAGAGAAAACATACGTGGGTACGGTGTAAGTTAAAGGGATTAGTTTGTGGGGATGAAATCCAGTCACATGATCCATAAAAGGATTAACTGAAACTGCATAAAGCCCAGGACCAAAATTCAACTCCTGGTTTTGTTGTAGGCAGTAAAATCCAGAAGGGAGTGGCTGGTACGCTGTTGGGTACGTATGGTTAGTGCTAACATCCAAGGAAGAACCATATCCTGATGGAATCTGTATAGGAAAATAAAAAGTGATAAGAATCTAACAGACTGATGACATATCTTGGCTCAATGTAATCAACAACTCGAGAGAGGTACTAAAAAGAAACAGTCAAGAACAATAAATAAATACTACCGTCCAGAAATAAAGCTCCACAATTGACTGGACACTATTATTAATAAAGGTAAAAAGTGTGTGCTTGTGTTTGTGTAGAGGAGAGAGAAATTGTGTGCACCACACAAATACTTCCTCAAAGTGAAGAGGACCCTTTTTATACAAACAAAAAAGAAAATGTGGAAACTTTATATGGGACAAAGGGAGTGGTTACATAAATCCTAAAGAAGACGTGCCAACAAAGCCAATCGCAAATATGCAAGATATTCTAGTATGAACATTTTTGAGAGGGTAACGACATTGTAAGTGATGGAATTTTGGATGAAACCAGATGCGCAAGGAAATTTAATGGTAATGAATCGTATGGTTATTTTGAGAGGGTGGCAGCATCGTAAATGATAGATTTTGTTGTTCAGTATCCCCTCTCAGACTCTCAGTGAAGGTGAAGGAGTAGTTATGTGTTGAGACTTGAGAGCTCAAACATCTGGAGAAATGTCAGCTACTCAGCTCCTTATTGGCATGTGGATCACTCTGGAAGTATCCAGAGGGAGTAGCGTAGGTGAGTAGATCTCAACTGTACAAGATACACGTCCCAAGGACATTATGTCAGTACTCAGTACTTTGATGTGTCTTTCGGTAAGGCAGTGGAGACAGATCTGAAGGTAACCTATAGGGTCAAAATGTCCAATCCAACCCATCTGGTTGAGCCTAGGCAGTGCATGCTTGGGTTTATATTCCAAAATTGATCCTTCACTTATCCTACCCACAATAGGTATCATCCTCCAAGCGTAAAGAGAGCCTCCTGGATACTGCTTGTTATGGAGTTCGGTTGTTGAAATGACCTCAAAAGCAGACATTACATTTCATGGACAGCAAAGAAGGAAAAATGTCAGAAATTCAAGAAGGGGAACATAGTGGGTATTTCCGGAATCTAACCCTTGACTGCTGCTACGAATATAATCATTTCCAAATCGATCCAAATCTAATCATTTCCCATTGGATCGAAATTTAATCATTTCCTGCACTGATTACTTCAAACATCTACATCGAGCGCAGAAATTTTTTGACGTTGAATTCACAAAACCTAGACGTTTTTAGCAAATATACTTATCGCCTAAATTACTAGTTACTACTCAGTTCCCATAAATATAAAGCCTTTCCATTTCGAAAATGTAATGCGTTAGATCCAAAATTCATGCTCCTCCTAATAGAGGAGCGAATAAAAAGTCGATACCTGTTGAACTTTCATGGCGGAGTCTTCACAAGATTTCTGAGACGGAGACGGAGACGGAGACGAAGAAGAAGAGTGCTCCGCCGAGATAGAGGTATGATTTGGGGGTTCTTCAGCCATGGTTCCAAGCTCAGACCGAGCTCTGTTAGCCTGTCGATCCTGTTAACCCCCTCCACTTTCCTCAAGAAAATCCAGAGTCCAGGTATATGACGTGGCCTGCGTAATGGCGTTTTTCTTATTGGTTGGAACTAATGACGTAGATCAGGGTCCGTTGGAAGAGAAGTGAGGGAGGAAAGTAGAATAGAAATTAGATTGAAGGGAAATAAAAAAGAGAATTAGGTTGCTTTATAGCCCATTTCAGTTAAACTATTAACTTGGTAATCATAAAAATTTAAAACATTTTAAATACTTTTATTTATCACAATAATATTTTTTGTAACATAACAGTACAGAGTTTTCAATGTTGCAGAAGCTTAACAAATCATAATCACAAACACAATTTATTTATGTCCTTCATTTCAAACCATCACATCCATCCCGACTATCTCGCTTTTGTAGCAAATAAAACATACTACACGCTCATTGTTAAAGCTGGGTAAAAATATCCATATAAATTGAATCTAAATCCATAACCAAATCATTTGATATCATGCACATAATGTTCAATTCAAATATCCATCATTCATGATTTTGATGATGTTTAGTTCATGTTACGCCCCAAAAAAACCCTAAAATTTATTTAATTAAATATTATATTAAACAAATTTATTTTGATTAAAATAAATTATTATTGGGCTTTAGACGGGATAAAACTCATAGAGATAAATCTAATATGTTGAGTATTTGTGTAATCTTGATTGGGAACCAGAGTACAGATCTGAATTAAGAATAAATGAAGAATTTGTTTATAATGTGAACTTTGAAATGATTTATTGAACTAAATCATGAAAATAAGTAATACAAATTAAATGAAAGAACCTTTTTGAATAAAGGTCAACTAAATCAATTTTCACTCTCTCAAAGTCAAATACCCAAAAATATGATGTCAGAAAAAGTATTACAAATAAACATAAAAATTATATTATTGAATATAGTTTAACTATCCGATCGCAACGGTGCAAACGCATTTCATTTCGAAGAAAGTTGGATAAAAAAGTATACCCCGACTGGGACCAAAATTAGTCCCAATCAGGAACTTGCATTTAAAATCTGTATGGATCGCTGCTCCATCCACTGAGACGCTAAACGAACTAGAACAGTAACAGTAAAATGGAGGTTGACAAATGAGTTTTAGCGGTAGTAAATTTCACTCTAAAAGATATTAATTTATTCCCGTGTCGTATTCATGTGGATTGGTGTTAAAATAAATTTTCTATTAAAATCTAGTTAGGCAAAGTTTTACTCATTGGTTTTGGAAGCCTTCTAAATTCGAATAGTATTTGTGGTTTGGAATTAAACTGAGTTGGACAGAGTAATAAAATAATTGTTTGATAAAAAGGAATATGAATTGATTTCAAGTAGTAGGAATATTTCAGATAATTTAACTAGTTGGATTATTAAATTAACTAATTAATTTAACTAGTGAGTAATTCTGTCACAATAACTCCATTAATTTTATCCTATCTCTAGGCATTATTAATGTGCTAGAATTGATTGACTAAATTATTTTTCTCATTCATTGACAAATGGACATAATAATTTTTTTTCAACATTAATTAATAAATTGGCCAGATTAATTAATTAGAACATTCAACAATTACTAGCAACTTAACATTTCAATTAATTAAATTTAATACTCCAACATAATTATTTTTCCTACATACCTACTACCCTATTTTCAATTCACATTCCTAATATGTTTAAAAAGACATAGTAATAATAAAAAGTGCACAAATTGAATAACAAAACATGTTTATAATATTAATTAAAAAAAACTTACAACTTCCAGAAAAGCGGAATTGAAACAATACTGGAACTAAAACTCCCAAAATAAACTAAAACTACAATTTTATAATGATTCTCGCTGCTATGGAGAGGAAAAAACGAAGAGAGGATGATGAAGAAGAAGGCTGATCGACGCTGCCTTTTATAGGCCTAGGAATCTCCGGGGCGCGGAGTGGGGCGGCCGCCCGGAAGGTCGCCCTAGGAGGAATATCCGAATATTCCGCCCCAAGTTGCTGCCAGTTGCAATTAGCTGCCGTTTGGATTCCGGGGCTGGGTCCGGGGCGGTCGCCCCGCAGTCGATAAAAATATTCCTGCAAAACGTGTCGTTTTCTTGCCTTATCTTGCAATTGAATCCCGGGGCTGGGTCCGGGGCGGTCGCCCGGGCCAACCTTGGTTTTTGGGCTTCGAATTTCTGTGGCAAGTTCCATATTTTGTGCTGAACATTTTTATCTTCTGGAGCTATGGACGAAATTGAACTTAAATGTCTCAAATATTTTATTTTCTTTCAAGTTTTTACTCTGTTTGAGTAAGTTTCTGTTTGAAAATTCCAATTTTGTTTTGAACACCCTTTTTTTATAAACAAAATGACAACTTTGAGAAATTTAGAAAAGAAAATAAATATTTTTACCTTAATTAATTTTATTTACATACAAAAACGTTTAAATATAAGAAAAATAATAAGTACAAAATGTACTTATCAGAGGTCATCTCCAATGTCTTTTTCTCACCTCCTCCACGATATAAACCCCTTAAACCTTCACCATTCTTCTTCCAAAAGAGAACTCTAAGTGTGATGAGCGTTGTGGTGTTGTTAATTTTGTGTGAAGTCACCGGAGCAAGTCGTGGTGTTCACTGGAAGTTTTGTCGTTCAATCGTCGGAATCATCGTTTAACTTCGAGGTAACCCTGTAAATATATCTAATGACTAAAATGTTTGTATAGATCATTTCTACGTTCATAAACGGTCATTTGGTTGAGTTTTGTGTTTGGCATGCTTGAAGAACCAAGAATCATAAAGCTTGAATTTGTTGTTAAAACACTGAATTAATGATGTCAAAATGATCTATGGACCTTGGAGAACATTTCTATATAGTTTAATTGAAGTTTGGTAACTAAAATTGACATTTCCTAAAATTGGCCCGAGATTGAAGATGACATTGTTCAAAACTGTGCGCAGAATGGTAGCCTGCTACCCTCCGGACGGTACCTTGGTACCGCCAGCACGGTAGGCTATACCACCGAGACGGTAGGCTAGCTACCGTCTCCTCCAAGAAATTTGCCTTCCTCTAGCGGTTCCTGAAGTGCGGTGGTACTCTATATCGTTGGCATGGTACCAAGGTAGCGTAAGCCAGTACTGAGGTACCGTTAAAGGTACCGTTTGTCCTGAGAAATTTTTAGAAACTTGATTTTTGAACTATTAAATCCTATTTTTGATACCAATCAATTATGATCAATATGAATATCATTTATGGAAATAAAAATGACGTTTTGATAAATACAAGAACTTTGTTTGATGCATGACGGTAAGCTAGGGTGTTAACACTCGATGCTAGGCCGTTATTTGTTAATGAATGTTATGATGACTGTTAATGAATAATGATTACGATCAAACCTTGATGAATATTATACTTGAAGGATTATTATATTGGATAAACCATAATGAAATATCGTTGATAATAATCTCTATTAAACATTGATTACGATGATCAAATGGATGACCCGTGTGATTATGATTACGATGATCAAATGGATGACCCGTGTTAATGTTAGAATAAGTGCCCTTCACTAGAGGGGGGGGGTGAATAGTGAGGCACGAGAATGTTTATAAATTTTCGCGGAATAAAAATCGCAGGGATAAAGTAAAGAGCGGAATAAAAAGGAGTAAAGGGAGCACACCAATGTGAAAACTGCTCTTCAACTAATTTTACTTTATATATGTACACACGCACGTCCATCCATAATTGCATTAATTAATTGCTTGGATTGTAAGTATAATTGATTTGCTTTACGGAGCTACGCACCACTTTAATTTGCTTTATGGAGCCACGCATAAGTTTATAGAATCAAGGAGGAGTGATTGGACAACATATAAATTGATTAAACATCACATTAATTACCCACATAAATACCCATCCTTTAGGCCCATCATTTATTCTATATAATCCGGCCCACTCCATTCGGCCCAATCCAGCAGCTTCATATTGGCTGGAACACTGTTCAAAAGGCAATTTATAATAAGATACATAATTCCTTCGCATTGTTATTTTTTATCTTCCGAAAGCTAAATTTTGATCGTTTGCAAATTAGGATTTCATTTTATTCAATTTTCCCAATGAATCTCCGGCCGAGATCGTTCTAATCGGTGAAGAGGATGGTTCTGGGCTTGATTCGGATGCTCAGATTTGAACGGTAAAGATGCGAGGAGAGCGCTCAGTTTCAGCGGCAGAAGGCGGAGGGAGTTCGTATGTGGAGCTTGCGACGATTGAATCGGCGGCGGGCTCCATGGACGGCGCATTCGTTTTCCATGTCGTCTACGATATCATCGGCTTCGCCCTCTTCATGCACCAGCAGATCCCTTCCCTGTTGCAGGATCTCACCTCCGAGTTCGACGAATTGCTGGCCGAATTTAAGGAATTGGAGGCAGTTCTCGCCCACGAGGAAACTACAGGTCCGGCGAGGAGGAAACACGCCTCTAGAAAGAGGGAGGTGAGGGTTTGTATGAGAAGATGGAACAAATTCATGAACACGATCTCGAATGTGAAAACTGCTCTTCAACTGATGCTCACGGAGGTTCCGAGCATTGAGACTTTGCTTCTGGTTATCGGATCCACTCCTATTCGCCCACTGCATGTCTTTGAACTGCATTTTTCACAGGGAGGAAGGGTTCGTTCGCCCGATTATTCGAGGACCAGAGCCGTGGAGACAATATCGAAGAAGGCTATAAGGGAATTAGTATCAAGAGGCGCTGGTTCCAGTTCCAATCCAGGTGCTACAAAGCTCTATCTGCTAGTCAGAGCTCCATCATCACTCAGTTTGCCTTTGCATTTTGTTCCCAAACGGGACTTCAGGTTCAGCAAGAAGAAGGTGGAGCCCTTTAAGCTGGTGTTCAAGTGCAAAGTTAATGGTGATCTTGGAAAGACGCCGGGCAGTGCTGACAATCAAGATGCCAACACAATGACTTTCACGGATTCAGCATTTGATGATATTATCTGGTTTCAATGTAGGCATGTTATCAAGGGATTCGCTACCCGGACATCGCCAACTGAAGAAGATTAATACATCTGGTGGTTGCATCCCTGCTGAAGTGAACTCAGCTTTCTTCCAACTTAAACTGAAAGCATCAGTAAGAACCCCAGTTTACACTTATTCACTCATATCTGATAGTCTAATTGTGCTAATTTTCTGCTACATGTGTTTAGTTTCACATTGGAAAAATGATGTGGTTTGCTCTATTTGTCTAGGATTAGAGTCGTTAGGTAGCGTGTATGTGTGATTTCTATGCTTTGGGTCTTGTTGATAGTGTAGGTATGCATGCTATGTGTCACTGTACTTTTACTCTGTTTGTGCTAATGTGTTTACTTTGTCCTGCGTTCTGAGCTTGGAGTCTCTTGGAAATAGCATCTCTACTTTTGAACAGATACACACATCCTACTAATTGTTATATTTTAATGGGCTTGTTGCTTTATGGGATTTTACAGGGCTTGTTCTTGTTGTTGTTCTACTAGTCTACTACAAGAGATGGTTTTACATGGGCTGATCAGTTTAGTACTTGATTGACCTGTGTCTTGCACTCTAACCATGGTTAGATTGTTGATTCATGTTGCTAGATGCATGATAAGTATTACTTCTATCACATTTTTTTTAAAGATAAATGGTGGCAATGCTTACATTGTATAACAAGAGCTAGCTAAATGCTACATGTCTTGAAAATTCAAGGGAAATGGAATGATTTTCCTTGATCCACACTTGCAATGGCCAGACCGATGGTCCCTTTGGATTGAAGAGAACTAACTACGAAGATGGATTGGTTTTGCAGAGAAACTAGTTATGCATCATATGCTCAAAGATGAATAACAATTATGATATGTGCATCTATGTACTTTCTTAGTTCATTCGATATGATGTTTAACGACAAGGAGTAAAGAAATTGGAGGGAAGTGTTTCTCGCGACTAATTCTTAGTTTCTTACCATAACGCCGATCAGCTCCAAAATGCCTTCGGGAAACGTTCACGAGCTGTTATGGAATTCATAAATGTGCATATATTTATAATGGGCGGGCACCCTCTCTGTATGTACAAAACAATACGCCCTCCGTACCCAAAAAATGTCATAGTTACTATTTTACCCCTTCGATAACTTTTGTTTGTTTACTCGTTTTGGTTAATCATTTGATAAAATAATTTTTATGAATGTTTGTATAATTTTTATGTACCTTTGAATAGTATTATTTTTATTTTTATTTTTCTACTAATTTATAAATAAAATGGTTTTAAATGAGATGATATTTTACACATTCTTTGAAATGTAAACAATGATGCAGGTAGTAAATGCGTTGATGGAATAACTCTTTGATGTCCGTAGATATTGCGCTCGTGCTAGTGCCAATATGGGTGAGGATGATAAGGTGTGAGATGAAATTTAGAGCAATCCTAGGTTCAGAAAGAGAATGATCACAAATTTTACAAATTTACCATTTATGGTTTAAATTTTCATTTTAAATTATTTTTGACCATTTAATTTTTTTATTGAATTTAAAAAATAGTAAGTCTGTGAATTTTGTGACCATTTTGTTTGTGAATATAGCATTTCTCTAAAATTTATTCAGGACAAATTGGAATGCATACTTATGTACTCCGTATTCAGTTTATATTAAAAATGTAGTGAAACTCTTTTATATGTTTTTTTAAAAGTAAAAAAATTCATTCACACCAAATCAACCATAATAATCTAGTTGAATCCTACAAGAGTAGAGTCCTAGAGTAGAGTCTAGGAGAATCTATGTATGTAGACTTTACTACTACTCGAAAGTAAGATGTCTCTTTTGAGACCCCTCACTTAAGTAACATGTGTAGTACAACCTCACAAAAGTCATAAAGTAGAGAAAGCATATATCACAAAAAATGAACAAACAAGAGAAGGTATATGGTACAACCGGTTGTACCAGAAATAAGGTATAACCGGGTAGTACTAATCTTGAAATAAAGTAATACACATTCTCGTATCAACATAAATATTCATTTTGAAATAGCATGGTACTCATTCTGAAATAACGTAGTACTCATTCTGAAATAATGTAGTACTCAATTTCTCACATTTTTTAAATACAATTATAATATTTATTTACGAATAACATAATGTTCATTCTAAAACAAAGTAGTATCATTCTCAAATAAAGTAGTGTCCATTGTTAACTTAACGTTCATTCCATTAAAATCTCTTCAAACCTCTTGAATTGTAATTTTCCTTCTCCACTAAAATCTTCATAGTCCCACATATGGGCTTTCCAGCTTCAAAAGATTGGTAACTCTGCCGCCTTCGATTTGCTTGTCTTAGATATGCTCTTCTCCATTGTTTTTGCCACCATCGATCTTCGCGCCTCCGGTCGTCTGTGTGCCTTTCCCTCTTTCGCCGAGCTTCTTCGATCCTTGCCCTCCCCTCATTGGCTCCTCTCCTCCTTCACCAAGCTTCTTCGATCATCACATTTTTTCCGTTTCTTTTACCAGTTGTACCCAACTTTGGATACAACCGGTTGTATAATATAATTTGCGCAGACTATTGTTAATGAAGGAAAAACACAGCAAGTAGTAAGGGCTAAGCATATCCTTTATATATAAAAAGGAGACTCCAATATCTAAGAACTTGACATTTGGCATATTCAAAGCTTGACATGTGGCGCATTAGGAAGTTGACATGTGGCATATTAGGTGGCAATTTAACCAAATTTAAACTCTTTCATTATTTTACATTTTTTACTCTTTTTTCAAAAAATGATATGGAGTAATTACTTATTTTGAACCCATGATTTCAAAATTAGAATTAAAATTATTTTCCGTGTAAATTATTACTCTTAATAAAATATCATTTTTTAAAGGACTCTACGTACAAATATTTTTAATACCTATCTCGGATTCGTTAAATCATAAAATTTACAAAAAAAATTAGAATAATAAATATAATACACTCCTCACCCATAAATAAATTTTATATTTATTCATTATACATTTACATGATATTCCTTTGATTGCATTTATTTAAATATTGACACCTATGAAAAAATAGTTCCTTTACCTATAAATAAATTTTATATTTTTATGACACTTAATGTGTCACTTAATTTAAGATATAGAAAATGCGAATTCAATGTTTTGGTATAAAATCTCTGAATAAATTTAATTGTTAAAGAGAAACATTCATTTTTATGAAAATACTCTTTCCAATACAATACAATATTTTTTACTCGCTTCATTTGTAAAAAGGATTTTGATTAATAAATAAGATGATTTTTTCACATTGAAATAATTTTCATACAAGTATTAGTTTATAATATTTTAAAATTAAATTAGTTTTGATTCTATTTGTTTTAATAATAATGTAAAATTAAAAACAAATAATACATTTCAATAACTAGATTAAAAAAATTAAAAATCAATACATGACTGGACTAAAATTGAATTTTTTTTAAATAATAAACAAAACATTCTCTTCAAAAATAAATGGTATTCGAAGTATTATGAATTTTTTATGATACCTTTAAATGAAATTAGTTTGATTATATTTATTTAAATATTGACACTTACTAAAGAAATACTTTCTTCGCCTATTATGAAATTTCTTATTTTTTAACACGTAATATACCACCTAATTTGAAACGTAAAATCAACATTTTGGTAAAATGTGATCCTAAGGTCCACGTGTGAAATGTGAACCTATTTATAGTTTTCATGGACCAGCAAGTAAATATTTTTTAAAAAAAGATTCAATTCTTTTGTGATATTTTTACAGCAAGGTCTATAAAATGAGCATGGACCGTAGAACTGCGGAAAAGTTTGCCTCGTAATAAAACTTTCAATCCCCCCCCCCCCCACCAAAAAACCTTTCAATTAATAAATAAGATACATTTTTTTACCTCTAAATCAATGTCATGCAGGTATTTGCTTATGATATGTTATAACTAAGTTAGTTTTGATTCTATTTATTGCAATATTGATGTAAATTAAAACATATAAAATATTTTAAAAATAACACTAAAATTTATGTGAAGTTAAAGTGTAAAGTTATTGCTTTAGATTTTTTATGCATTCGCCTTTTTTATATGGTATCCTAATGCAAGTGTGTTAGAATTTTTGTAATAACTAAATTAAACAAAATATGTTGGTGACTATAATTTCGCTATGGTTCTTGAGTCAACAAACACTATCGATAGGCCGTCTGCAATATGTGTCAACAGGAACTAGTGAGTTATTTTACTTGAGAGTATTTTTAACGGTCCAATAGGGATGGACAAGCTCTCAAAGTTTGAAGACAGTTAACAATGATGTACATAACACATTCACGGATGCATGCAAGGATTGAGGTTACTCGCGCTGATTGAAAATTTATTGAAGGCAAGATGTTGTAGAGCTAGGATCTGAGAGTGAGCTAAAAATTCTTTGTCACATTATTACTGACAAATACCATAAGTCGCTCTCAAGTTGTTTGAAAAAAATCATGGAAGCACTTAGTTGATGAGGTTTATTTGACCGAAGAAGAATATTGCATTATCAATGTGTTTTTTTAAAAAAGATAATTTTAGTTTTTAATAAATATCAATATGAAATGCACGGTCGGTACTTATACAAAACTCTAGAATTGAGATATGAGTATAATAAATTTAGTCATATATAAAATTTGTTGTATACCCAAAAGTCTTTCAAAAATATAGATTTAGAAAATCTTTGAGACGTTCACTTTTGAATTTGTATATAAGAATTTTCATTACCAAATATTTAATGCTAAATTATTTATTTTATTTTCTTTTTAATGTCTTAGTAGTTAAAAACATATTATATATTTTTTTATAAATTCAATTTAAAATATTGCACTGAAGTTAATCTACCGAAGTGTCAAAAATTGTGTCCAACCCCGTGCTTTGCACGAGTTAGAATACTAGTAAATTACATATTAACAAGTGGGAAAGTTACTACTTTGTCCAAAACGCTTACCCAACTATCCTAAATTAATTCTGAAATATTTTTTTATCAAAGATCATATCTTCGTTAGGAACTAGAAGTTTCATGTCATATCTAATCATTCCATTCAATTATTCCTAAGTCTACACCTTTTCCTACTCTCACCCACCACCATAAGCCCCTCAAACCTCTACATTATGGCTTCCAACAGCTTATTCTATACTAGTGCCATTCATACCCATCGTCGAATAATTTCGTTCTGAATCATATCTATTCTTATCTTTCTACCTATCTTTGACGAACATGGATATTCTTAACTACCAACACTTCACATTAAATGACATACTTGGCCTGAATTACCTTTCATCCTATGTGAAATCTTCTTATAACAGAGAACATCTGAAGCCAATTTCCACATTCTCCAAGCCGTTTTAGCGCAATGTGCAACATCCTTATCTAACTCTCCATCCGTTTGAATGACTGAACAAAGACATTGAAAGTTGTCAACCTTGGGTACTAGGTTAACTTCCATCTCTAATTTAGTCACCTGACCACTAAAACAGCATTTCATTTATTCAGTCTTAGCCCTACTCAGTCTAAAACTCACAGATTCCAGAGAATGACACCATAGTTCCAACTTGTATGTTATTTAGTCTCTTGCAGATATCGTTGATGAATTCAATATCGTCCACACACACACACACACATATATTAATATAAAAAATGAATAGTTAAAATAAAAGAAATGTTTATGAAAACGTGGTTAATATTACACGAATTAAAGGGAACAGATAAACTTTTGTAAATTTTCTACAAAAAGTTTAAACTCTAGTTGTATGGTGTTTTCCATACATCCGTGGTGAGTACTCATTTACATGTAATTGAATACTTATATTTGAACAACTGAATACTTTTTTCAAGTAATCATGCACTCATTTTTCTAAAATTCAGTAATGTTCAAAAATGATTATTTAATTAATTGCAAATGAGTATTCTATTATTCAAAAATGAGTATTTATGTGGATGGACGGAAAATTCCGCACATTTTGATGTATGGTATATGTACTCCTAAATTCCATCTAATTAAGAATGCATGGGC